AGAGGTGCGATCCCGGTTAGAGGTGCGATCCCGGTTAGAGGTGCGATCCCGGTTTCGAACGTAACCTCAACGAGTACAAGCAGCGCAAGATCGATCATTGTGGCGGTCTTTGGGGGAGTTCTATGTCCAGCAGTGAACGTCTTTTGGCTGAAATGATGATGAGCTTGAAAGTTCTCTAATTAAGTTAATAACAATGTTCCTAGCTATATACAAAGCCAAAGTTTAAAAGAAAAACCTCTCAAATAAAATTGCAATCGCTGTTCTGTTGATATTTGGTTCTTTCACTAATGAGTTCCATGCCGAATCCAAAGGCGCGTATGTATATAACTATAATTTTTCGATTATCAATATTTCTCACTCATTAAAAATACCTTGTCAAGGCATACTTTCCTCAAGAACCTGTCCCAAAACGATTAACACTCTCGACGTCATTGTCAAAAACCTTACATCCGCATGTAGCAGGACGTTCTCAAAACTATGAAATTAGGTCACTCGCCATTTTGGAAGCCGGGCAAGTGCTTATTATAGGCTCCGACACTTAAACACCGGTTTATACTTGAAAGCATTTTTGGGATATTGACATTTCACCAAACAATCTCTGACATTATGAAACGTACTACTTTCATTGTCTATGGCTTGCGGTATTTATATAAACTTGTCCTAAAGTTAAAATGAGTGCTTGAATATGGAATGTCCTTAAGATATTATTTAAGTAATGCCGCTAGATGTCGTAAATCATTTTTTAATTGTTTCTAAATCAAGTCTACTTATAGGAACGTATGTTTTGCTGACGTCACTTCTTGTATAGTCAAGACCACGTCAAATTGATAAATTTGGCCTTTCGACCGTTCTTATCGTCAACGGCAAGTTCCGAAAAGCGTGAATTGGGGTCAGTGGTCCCGTTACTCGCTCCTGGACAGGTTTCGTGCGGGGTGACGGTCACTCACGGTCCCCTGTGCCCATGTTGCGCAATCTTACTTATTTGATGTCCTTTCTTGATATTCATATTTGTTTCAAATTACCTATTATTCACACACCATCGCGTTGGATACCACAGCAGAGATAAAAATAATAAATATTCACTCAGCTTCGCTTTCCATGAAATTGGAAAAACAATAAAATTACAACAATCATGGTAGATTTAAGTTCTATAATCTGTTCCTTTATTTATTTCATCTAGTAATATTGTTTTTAATGAATTTGTTACAGGTATATAAACAAAATCCGATGGCTTCCACCAAAGGACGGTACACGGCAAGTAAATAAACAAACTGTAAAGGTAAGTATCATTCGATTATCGTTCTTTATTTTTAAATATTTTTTAAAAATTTTTAGTTACTTGGACTCAATTGAAAAGGGACTTATTGAAAGGGTATATGGCTAGTCACAGCAAGACACGGATTATTTTCTGAGAAAGCTTGTGGAATATTGATCCTTAAAAGTGGTCCATCCATTCTTTCTTAGGTTCGCGGTGCGCATGTTGCTCGTTAGAGCGTGGGTTGACTGGAACAGGTAGAGTTTCTTAACAAGGCAGTGTGTACGTACCTGACGACATACGCTTACTATTGTTACTTGATGAAGAGGCACTAAAATTGATGACATAGTCTCTTTTCAAAAACCTATCAAGTTGTAGAGTCCCCAAATCCGACATAGTATTGCTAGCAGAGCTATTTTACAGGTAAAATGGCTCTGCAAAATGATCACGACCCCCGCGGCGTGTGAGGCCGACGGCCGATGACGGCCAGCTCGTACTGTCAGAGGCAGGGCAAAGATCGTGACGCGCGAAATAACAGTATGTTGCGATAATGAACACATCGATGATACCCACTGTACCTATCTACGGAGTGATGCGGTGTGTTAAAAATAACTATGTTGGATTTGTAGCCATTGTTGAATCTAAGTAATATACAATTTGGAAGTTGTAAAACACAAAACCGTGATGGTTAACCCGATCTCGCCTTTAAACTGTCCATATTCATCAATGTGATCATTACTGCGTTCCTGTTTTGAAGGGTAGAGTGCTGGTGAAATTGCAGGCACTTGGGACTTGTCAACTTACGTCTCAGGGTGACGGGCGCTATGCAGTGGCGGTATCACTCAGATCTTTGTGGTTTAAAGCACTGAGTGGTACTGCAACTGTTGTGGACACGCGTGTCACTTACCACCAGGTGAGTGACTTGTTCGTCCGTCACTTGGTCTCATAAAAAAAAATCGCACGTACCAGTTAATTTGCATAGATTTAGGTAGTGATTTACGCTGGTTATTTTTATGTTCACAGTGAATAGACATCTCATTTTTTCCGTAATTTCATAATCAAGATATGTTCTAGATATGTTGATTATGAGATTACGGACAAAAAATGTAAGCGTTTATTTAAAAAAAGTAAAAAACAAAATAGCTTCTGGTTTCGCTATTCTATTCCGTAAAATATTAACAACACCCTGTTTGTACAAGTATAACAAAAGGTATCAACTTGAAATTGGTATTCAAATAGGAGTTCATTATAGACGACAATAAGCCGACTTGAGACGTAACGGTGTGCAAAACATAATAATATTGTATGCGAATGACGAACAACTTTACGTGCTCCTATGACTTATTATATTCTTATAAGGCAGCTTAAATACAATGATGAGTGATCACTTTTCTCCTGCTTAGAGGCAGATATGGCACCTTTGGTGTAATAAGGTAAAATTTACAAAGCTACTATTTTTCAGGAGAGAGAATTAAAGATTCTACACCTAGGATATTAAACTACTTTCACGGATTTAAATCGCGTATATTTGTTTTTTCAAACGATCACGGTTGACTGATGACGGTTGGCGATTTAAATCCGGAAAAATAGTTTCATTTCCTAAGTGTAACAATCGAGAGAACCTGAGAACTCGATTCTACACCTTGTTTAAGTTTATTAAATTTCACATGTAATTACATCATATTTTGTTTAAGTAGTTAATTTTGTTTTTATATCATTTTTGAAGTATGATCACATGTGACATTATTATACAAATAACAAATTTTAGTACCAGTAAAGCTCCTTGTGAAAGAGTTCGTCCAGGGAAGTACTGCCACCTTACTTATTTCTGCCGCCAAACAGTATTGTGAGCCTTATTGCGTTACTGGAAGGGTAGAGTGCTGGTAATATTACAGACACATGGGATTTGTCAACTTACGTCTCAGGGTGACGGGCGCAGTGGCAGTGCTCTTCAGATCTTTGTGATTTAAAGCTGTGAGTGTCGTTGCAACTGTTAGGTACAGGTGCACCACTTGTTCGTCCCGTTACTTGGTAATATAAAAAAAAACAAAAAGTATGATATAATATTAATATTTTATCTGAAGTCACATAATAAATATAGGGATTAACCTACTCTATGATAATAAGCGTGTTTTTCCCCGAGTGACAATGCTCTGGGAGTGTAGTAGCCACAACACTCAACCCTAAATCAATTTCGTTAAAGTGGAGATTGTAATACCGTTTAAAATTTTAAAAACCGTGAAGAGTTGCATCGCTTGGTCAATGAGTGCGGAATCCGGAAGCAAAATGGGATTTTGTTCTATAAGATTAGGATTTTTATAATTATGTCAATTAGGTGAATTAAAATAAAGCGGTGGTAGTCTAATGGGTGATTGATGGTTTGAATCCGCATGGCTGCATGTACCTACGATTTTAACTTCTAAATTACATGCGTGTTTCATCGTGACGATACATGCACGTAGAAGAAGTTTCACAATACTTAAGTCCTCAACGCGCATTGGTCATTGGTATAGGACCCGTGCTCAGTATTGGGATATACAGTGACTTGACGATGACTCGGATAGAAAATGATGCCGGTCTAGACAAAATCATCCGATGTGCTGTCATCACGTTATAAAAACACAAATCGCCCCCGAGAACTGCTAATGGGCCCCATAAAAAGGCACGCCGCCAAAATTACAGTCGCACCGGCAGTAGCAGTTAAATCCTCAATCACGAGATCATCCGTTACATTGGCGCATTATTATTCGAGACACAAAAAAACAACGAGCGTTTTGGATACTAAGTTAACTTACCCGTTTGTGTTAAGATAGTAATAAAATCTAGCGGCTACTGCTGTTATGTTCCTGGCTGATAAATAACCCGCCAACATGGAAAAAATGTTGTTGTTTTGAATAGCGCGGTTAACTCACAGTACGTGTAGGTTTTATTAAAAACAAAACAACCGTACTCGAAATTTGGTTCAAATTGCAGTCGATTCTAACACTAAGCTATATTTGTACGTCTTTTAGAAGTGTAACTTCATTAATTGCATAGTAATGATAGAAGATTTATGTGTATGTAGGTCACTATATTTCATCATTGACAGATTGATAAAACATTTATAGTCTAGCATCACACACAACAATTATAATATAATGCAATACAATAAATGGATTAAAATCAAATTTTTATTCCAAATCTTTTACCGTTTCTGCGAGCAAACTGTGGAATTCTCTCCCTGAATCTATTCAACGTTCCCCTTCTCTTGATTCCTTCGAACAATGTGTCAAGGCTCAGTTCGTCATCTCCTAAATTTCATATTTTCTCCACTATCCTTTAATTTATTTCCTATACTTATACTTCACTTTCTTTTCCTTTAAAAGTATATAAGCATTTAATATTATTATTTAAGTATTGTATTAATAATATTTGTATGGATATTTCTGTCTACGTATA